TTTATATTTACCACTTTATTTTTTTACATTTCTTGTATCTCAGCCAATTAGGGGGATCATTGCTTTCTTCTTATAGAATATTCTTTAGAATTTTTTTTCTCTAGCATTTAGATTTGGTAGTAAACTCATTTATTGCTCACTATTAATTCTAAATTGGCTATTTTATCTCAAATTCTAATTCGTGACCTTACTCTTACTCCTTCCCCACTTTTTTAGTGACTGTTTTTGCTTATCTTGCATTGGTTATGAATAACTAACTGAATGAACATTTAGAAGTATACTGAGAGAAAATGAGAAATGGGATTTTTCAAGCTGTACTTTTACAAGTTATTCTTCCCCCCCCCCATGAAAATAAAATATTTTTTTACACAAAGGAACATAAAATGATATTTTACATATTGAAGGTGAGAGATGAAGAGACCTTCCCCTAAATCTATCAGACTCTCAAAAATGGAATTTCTAAAATGTCTTCCAGGTTGTATCTTTGAACAATTTGGGTTTTTACTTAAAATTTTATCTAGTTAAAAATTCGATCTGGAGCGGTGGCCGTTTTCAACAAGTAGAAGACTGTGATGAGTTTAATGTATTTTACACTTCACTTCACAATTAAGTTGAGGAACAGCTTAGGCCAGAAGTGTATACCCTTATAAGCTGCTAAGCCATTCTTAGGAGATTTATTTAGACTTTGAATGCTTTTAAATTATATCCTAACTTGGAGTTTTAATTTGTTGAATTCTCCAAGATTTTGAAAGTTCAAAAAGATTCAAATAATTTTTTTCATATATTCTCCTTCAAATAATGAATTTTCCAAGAACACATTCTTAAACTGTCACAACCATGTGCTAGATACGATCTGGCTCTCAGAGTCAGGTGATCTGATAGTCACTTCTGATATTGTGCAGGGTGTTTGAATTATCTTTGGCTTTATATCCCTGCACAGGTGAAAGCCTCACTAGTCAAGATATATTACTCTTCACCTAGATTATTTGTTAAATTTCCAAAATAAATTGCAATTTCTTAATCTTACCAGTTTTAAGGAAATCTACAGTTTATTTTGGCGTAGTCTGTGACTGAATGTACTAAATAAGCCAGTTAAGGATACACTTCTGAAAGCAAGAAAGGTATAATATTCAAGTTGGCTGCCTTTTATGAAAAACAGTGTGTTTTATTGAGAAAGCTACCTTAATATGTTTGTGAGTAAATAGAATCATTTGGATAGATTATTTTCTTAAGAGGAAGTATGTTCATTTTATTTTAGAACACTGGCCAAGAAAATTAGAATCAAGAGTTGCACTCATCTTATTTGCTTTTCCTTTTCATCTTGTTAAATTCTCCAGTAATTCTTATATTACTGGGGGAGTTGCTGTTTTCATTTTACTTTTAAATGGTTTTTGTGTTGCTTTGAGGAACTCAGTAATTTAGTTTCACATTGTTTTTGCATTACAAATGTAGCTAATGTTTAAAATGAATGGAGTATTATAGTCTTAGCACTGGACATACAGCCTACAAAGAACCTTTGTGAGCTGATTTTAGCACTATTTTCTAAGGATTTCTTCTAGAAACAACCCCCCCCCCCCCCATGCATATTTTAATATCAACCTTTTCTTTTGAATGCTTCGGCTGTGTTTAAAATCTGCAAGTTACAGCCTTTTAAAGCATTTCTTTTATGTAGATATCTCTTCACAATGAAAATTATATTCAATATTTGAGTTATGCTTCTTTCCTATTTCTGTCTTCTCATCCCATCCACAGACCTATAGAGTTTATTTCAACAACTTAATCTCAGTACATGCCATTAAAATTAATATTACAACACTTTCACTGCAAAGTAAGCTCCACTGATATCAGGAAGATATGCTAGATTCCTGTTTGAGGATATTTCAATCCTTTAAACAGGCTAGCAATACCTTGGGTTTATTCCCACATACAGGAGTCTGACTGATAATTGTTTTTTCAGATTTCCAAAATGAATGCTACTGCATTCAACTGTGAAAAGTGGCTCTCCTTGAAAATGATTGCTTCATCTTACCCTAGCTACATAGATAGGCTAGAGCCCTTTTACCCCATAATAATTTTTTAACAAATTGTCCTTTTAGTACTTTTCAGAATGTTTGGATTGATGCTAAATAATTCATTTTTGTTATCCAGCATAACAAACTAAGATATTTCTGATTCTGTGGATGCTTCTGTGGAAACCAGTTATGTGGTTCATGTACGGTGTGGAAATATGGAAAATTGTGACATTCATAAAAAGAATGTGGATAAACTAACATTAAGTGCCTGGTATGTGCCAGTCACTGTACAGGGCAATTATATATAATTTCTCTAGAAGTAGATAATTAAATTACCGAGAGTACCCCAAATCAAAACACACACACACACAAACACACACACACACACACACACACACCATTTAAGAATGACATGAACATTTACAAATGAAGTCAAATACAAAGGCTTAAACTATTAAGTATGTGATGGTGATAGGATTCTTTTTAGCTCCAAGAAATAACCAAGAAATAAAACTTTCAGTTGAGAAGGAGAACAGAATTAGAATAGGGTAGAATGCATTCGGTCCTCATATGTGGAATACAGATGAAGTACCTAGTCCAGAGGTGGGCAACCCCTGGCACGCGTGCCAAACATGGCACGCTAGTAACTTTTGCTGGCACGCGAAACCCACTCTTATAATCTTCCATTTACAATTTTTGTGAACATTTGAATGACTTAAATGTTAAATTACAAGGAACTGGCAAGACACTTGATGTTATGTTTGGTTACATAAAGGCTTTTGAAAAGAAACTGGAAGTCTTTAAGAGGGATGTGGATGGTGAGAGATTTAGATATTTTCCAAACCTCAAGAGGCACATCAAAGACCTCCCAAAAGATGACAGAACAGACTGTCAAAGCCTTCAAAAGCTGTTTTTAAACATCATCGAGTCAACTATTGAGCAGTTCTTCTCAAGATTTGCGAAATTCAGAGAACTGGAAGAGACAGCAAAATTCATGAGGTTTCCAGACAGCATGAATCTGGAGGAACTAAACTTACAATTGTTTTCATGGATAGACATGGCTGACTTTGAAATGCAGTTATTGAATTTCAGAGTAGCTCAATTTGGAAGCAGAAATTTATTGACCTTAGAGTTGACTTGGAAAACATTGAAAAAAAGCGATTAGAGACAGGAGTACCAGAGAGAAGTGTCGAAAACGAACTATTGAGGACTTGGAATGCCATCCCAGAAATTTTTTTCTGTTTAAAAAACTTTGCAACAGCGTTACTCTCCATGTTTTCATCCACATACGCTTGTGAATCTTTGTTCTCAGTGATGAATTTTGTTAAGTCTTGTAATAGGAGTAGCCTGACAGATGAAAGTAGTAGCTCGTGCATATCTCTGAAGGTCACGAAATATAAACCTGATGTAAAATCTCTGTCATCTGTGATGCAGCAGCAAAAGTCCCACTGTTAATATCAAACGGAGTCATTAAGTTTTCTGTCGGACTATCAGTGTACATGTATACATTAAAAAATAAATGTATTTTTCATCATCATATACTGTGTTTTTGTCACTCGAATGAATTTTATTATTTCTTCAAGGTTTTTCACATACGTACACCTTAAGAGATATCAAGTAGGCGTAACATGTTCTCTAAAAATTAGGGTTGGCACGCAGAAGAATTTTGAGTCAGAGATTTTGCTGGTTTTGGCACACACTCACAAAAACGTTGCCCACCCCTGACCTAGTTCAAAGGTTGCTTGCCCTGCTATGGCCTCAAATCAACCAAGACATATTGGCAGCTTTGTGGAACCAAGTTTTCCTGTTTCCCTATAAAATTGCTCCTTTTATGATGATGAAAATGATACTGGGTAAGATGAACATAACCTGTAGTCAGTCACTGTTGCAGTTTGAAGACACATGTAGTAAAGTACTTAGGATATTTCCTGGATAAAAGATAGTCTGGCTTACACAGTTAAGTCTAGTCCAGCAGATCTAGGTATAGATCCCACATTTCAGTGTCTGATTCTCAGCTTTTTAGCTTATAAATTTGAAGCAATAAGCATGTATCTCAATGGATTCCAGAGGATGGAATTATTCTAACCAAATTCACAAACCAGAACACCAATTTATTATTATTACCAAGAAAAATATTACTCTCCTGTGATCTGGTTCCCCTTGTTTGTACTAATCAGCATTGTATTAGTCTGCTAGGGCTACCATAACAGAATACCATCGACTAGTTGAATTAAACAACAGAAATTTATTTTCTCAGAGTTTTGGAGTCTGGAGGTCCAAAATTGATGTACTGACAGGGTTGGTTTCTGATGAGGCCTTCCTTTCTGGCTTGTAGACAGCTGTTTTCTTGTGTACTCACATGGCTTTTCTTCTGTGTGCATGCAGAGAGAGAGGTATCTGGTGTCTTTTCATCTCTTTTTATTTTTTTTAAAATATATTTTATTGATTTTTTTACAGAGAGGAAGGGAGAGGGATAGAGAGTTAGAAACATCGATGAGAAAGAAACATCGATCGGCTGCCTCCTGCACGCCCCCTACTAGGGATGTGCCCGCAACCAAGGTACATGCCCTTGACCGGAATCAAACCCGGGACCCTTCAGTCCGCAGGCCGACGCTCTATCCACTGAGCCAAACCGGTCAGGGCCTCTTTATATTTTTTTATTGATTTTTTTTTGAGAGAGAGAAATATCGATCTGTGTTCCACTTATTTATGGATTCATTGATCGATTCTTGTATGTGCTCTGCCTGGGGATCAAGCCCACAACCTTGGTATATCGGGATGATGCTCTTATAAATTCACCAGTACTATTGAATTAGGGCCCCACCAGTATGATCTCATTTAACTTTACTCCAAGTACAAAAACAGTAAGCACATTGTTCAGATAGCATGTGTAGTGTTACTTCCATGTTACTGTATTCAGTTTTACTTAGTCATTGGGGCAGAGCAGAATTATGTCATGTATCACTGGATTTTATTTTGCTTTATTAGCTCCTCAAGAGTTATTGATCTATGAAATGGCAGAGAATGGAAAAAATTGTGACCAGAGACGTGTAGCAATGAACAAGGAACAATATAATGGAAACTTCACAGGTAAAGTATGGTGGTTTGGAGGGAGATGATCTGCAGTGGTTCTCAACCTTCCTAATGCCGCGACCCTTTAATACAGTTCCTCATGTTGTGGTGACCCCCAACCATAAAATTGTTTTCGTTGCTACTTCATACCTGTAATTTTGCTACTGTTATGAATCGTAATGTAAATATCTGATATGCAGGATGTATTTTCAGGGGTCGCGACCCACAGGTTGAGAACCGCTGATTACAGGTTTAAATAATATTTTTTTCATTAGAATAAAATAGAAATATATCTATTATCTTGTTAATAAAATGATATTCTATATCATAATACAAGATTCTTATATATCTTATATAAGATTAATTATATATTTTTTACTCTTCATAGTAATTATGGGTCAAGGCCTAAAAAGTGATGCTGAATTGCCCTTCATAGGAGTGGGATAATTTAGTATTCCAGTACAAAAAAGAAACTTGTGTCCTGACAATAATTGCATAGAGCAGAAGCACCCAGCCCGTTGTCACAGTGTGAACCACATTGTTTTTTTGAGGTTTATATGCAGTCCTTCAAATGTGGGATGAATTTTGAAAGTGATTGGAAAAAGCGAGCATTTTGTTTAATTTCTGCACTCATGTTTTTCAGACCCCTCTTCAATGAATGAAAAGAAGAAGAGGGATCGGGAAGAAAGGCAGAATATTGTCCTGTGGAGACAGCCACTCATTACCTTGCAGTATTTTTCTCTGGAAATCCTAGTAATCTTGAAGGACTGGACCTCAAAGTAAAGAGTCTTCCATTACCTTTTACATAAACCTTACTTAGTAATTTTAGAAATTTTCAGCTATCTCCTCCCTGCCACCTGCTTTAACAAGAGAATTAATTAAATTTAGAATGTTATGGGAACATGTTTATTTTCCTTTCTGTAATTTGAAGAAAATAGGTTAAGAGAACATACTGCTATTTGCTCACTGGATTATTTACAGTTGACCACTGTCTCATGTTGAATCTTTTATGCAAAGCAGAATCCTGAAAAGGAGATTTTTTCCTTCTTCTGGGCTTTACTTTCAGAAGAAAGGCCTGTGTACATTGGATACACTTACTCTGTAGTAGGACAAGGTTCGGGATACGTGGCACTGTTACTGATAGTTTGAGCCAATGAGAACGGAAATGTATTCTATTTTTAAATTTAATGCGTCTAAGCCCTATTTCAGATATCATAAAGAGCAAGTTGAACTTTTACATGCCTTATCATTTTTTGGCTTGCCTTTCCAAGTTATTATCTGTAATATTATCCTGCATTTTTATTGTACTTACAGTTTATAAAGCATTTTGTAACATTTTTTAGTTCATTTGAACCTTAAAGCAACTCCATAAAGAAGGTAAAACAAGTATATGATTATTATTATTTTAAAAATGAGAAACAGAATCAGATTGGTTAAGTGTCTTACTCAAAGTGTAATATTTAAGGGACTTGAGACTTGATCAAAGTCT